CAGAAAAGGTGGCCTGATATCCACAGCACTTGGAAGAATCGGCCCACAATAACATCAAATCACTTTGACTACACTACGCTTCCCTAGTAAATGTTAGTATAAAACAGAAAAAGGTTTTAGGTCAATTGCATTATCCAATGATCTAGATAGAGTTTTAACAAGCTTCGGAGTCTATATCCACAAGAAAACAAATAAAGTTTTTATAATTATTTTAATTTTATAAATTTTTACAGTTCTCAAAGAAGTGAATATTTTTTTAAATGAATGAATGAATGTATTTTTAAATTAGAAAAATATTGAGGAGAGGATTTTTTCAAATACAAAATGAGATTAAATATGTAAGAGTTGAGTTTTTCACATTACGTTTAAAACACACATATTGAATGCCTGCTTTGTACTTAACAAGTACAAAGTATGTAAATCTTCCTGCATGGTGGACTGGACCATCAATATTCAGATCAGCTATCTAACCTAATGGGTGATTGTTCTCTTCCCATCACTGGCTGTGTTTATGTACTGGCATGAGGACGCTGGCATTCTGAGACAGAGCAAGTCATTGGTTTATAGAAAATGTAGTCACTTTTTGTTTTTATAGACATTGCCAAACTTATTTTGAAAACTTATATTCTGTGTGCCAGCAGTCTTTCTTTAGTTCTTATGAAGTAATTTTTACAAAAAGTGAAAACATTACTCATAAGCAACTACAGAGGAACTATAAAACAAGCTTAGTGGAGATTAAAAACATTAAACATTTACTCTATTTAGAAGTAAATGACTACATGTTATGTACCTTCCTTATGGCTGACTCTTGTATTGAACAAATTCCAGATCCAACAGTTATCTCAGGAAATAATCAACATTTCCAACCCCTTTGTAAAAATTTGCAGAAATACGTGTTTTAGGTTAATGTGCAAATGTAATAACCACAAGATTACTATTAGCAAACAATGTGGCTCTTAAATTGTTACTGTATTTTAAAAGAATGGGTTTAAAACAACCTTCAAAGTGATACAAACTCTTACATATCAAAATGCTAAAGTATTAGTTTCCAAGTTTTAAATTTATAAAACTCCAAGGATCACTTACTAGATTTTTTACCTGGGTTCTGATTCCTATTCCAAGCCCGCTTATATTCAAATCAGCTAATGTTATTTAAACAGAATTAATTCTGTCAAGCCACATACTGAATCTACATGTCTCTTTTATCTCAACATTTTACATGTCATCTGTCAGGGGTGGGAAAAACTGTGGCTTCAAGGCCACACGTGGCCCTCCAGCTCCCCAAGTGTGGCCCCTCAACAAAATCCAAATTTCACAGAACAAATCCCTTTGTTAAAAGGATTTGTTCTGTAAAATTTGGATTCAGTCAAAGGCCTCACTCAAGAATCCAGAATTAATATGTCTTTAATTCATGAGCTCTGAAAGACTACAGTACTGCTGAATGGATTACTTCCTTGAATTCTTTATTGGCAGTTCTATAGGTATTTGCCTTTATGTCCTATCTTTCAGAAAAAACAAAATTATAGCCTTCAAAAAGAGCCAATTTTTTTGCATTATAGGAAATGCAGCTGGCACTTTCCTTAACTTCAGATTCAACACTTTGTGGACCTAAGTTTATGCATTGTGACCAAGGTCAGAGCCATCAGGGATACCAAGGGGAAACAAACCAGGCTCTAAAAAGTTCTTCAAATAAGGCAAGTAGAGAAATTGATGTAGAATTTTCTGAGTGATCCGGCCAGAGAACCTTCCAAACATTGCCCTGCTTTTATAACCTCACCAAGATAGAAATAATTCAGAGTATTTTGCATGCGGATATTTGTGTTATAATTCTATAAATAAACATTAAGTCAGCAAAATACAAATTTTGCAATTACTTTGTTGAAAAACAAATGATCTGTTTAGATTAGTTAAAGCCACCA